TTGTCTTGGAAATGGAAGTGGTGTAACTCTACCTGAGTTTTGTGTGAACAAAATACAGTAGCTTGTTTTCCTTCCTCCTTAGTTAGAAGCAAATCTCTCTTAAGGTTCCATTCAGCTACTATTGCTCATTTTTGGTAGCTTTGCATTATTCTCCGTTCAGTATTTTTAAAAAAAATCTTTTAACTATTTGTGTTTCTCTGTGCTGCTGCTTCAAAAGTTCAGGCATTACAGGTATTCTAGGAAATGTGTAATGTTTGGCTTAGATAAGGTTAAAGCTTTAGTGTTTCTGTAAAACAATGCAAGTTAAAGATTTGCTTATGTAATATAAAACTTGGGTATTGTTTTACGTACCTTCTGCAAAGATCTATTAGGAACAAAACAAACAAAGCTCTAGAAGTATGTGTGAGATTATTTTTTAAGGTATAAATGAGTAGGCTATTTCTCATACGCAACTCAATTCTTAGAGCTTTGACTAGTATCTGTTTAGACAACTAATTTGACAAGAAAAACATGGTGTGTATGCTAGTTGAGCTATCATATTTTGCCCTTTTTTTTTTTTTTCTTCCTTCACTGTGAGCATTGTTTGGGGGAAAATGGCAACTGTTGCCTTGATTTCTTGATGATATAGAGCAGGAGGAATGTGCAGGACAGATGAAGAGCACTCCACTTGAGTAACTCCAAGAATTGCTGTTGATTGACACTTGAGGAAAAAGCATTGGTGTCAGTTATTTTTAGCAGCTTTTGTTTTCACTCTAAAAAGGCAGCTGTTAAGTGGTATGAAATCTCCAGTGATGATGTGTAATGTTAGGAGAAGTTCTGCGTTTTGGAGAAATGATTACTAGATGCCACAGAAATGGTCAAACTTTCTGCTCTTCTGTAGGCATTTTCTTAATTGTAGAAATATTGTAAGAACAAGAGCAGTGAATTAAGAGTCCCTGTTTGGAATTCTGCTTAATTTGAGACCTTGTCTGCTAAAGCCATGCTGTATTTGTTTTGATAGCTTGTTGAGAAGGGGGGAGCGTAATTGGCTTCTTACTGAGTGTAGTGCGGTGGTTGTGTAAGATGCTGAACACCTCGGATCTCTCCAAGGCAATCTGTAGGGAGTGCAGTGACTTGAAATCTAGTAACTTGTGTTACTGAACTTTTTAAAGTTTAAAAAATGTAGTAGTATTGTAGGTGCTGAACAGCATATTTGGGAGAGGGTGTGTCATAGCAAGTAAAACAGCTTATCTGGCAGAAACGTATGCGACTAAATCTACTATAGCAAAAATACTGAAATTTTGATCTGAGGATGGTACTAGAGAAATCTCAGCTACTGTTTAATGTTTGAGTGAAGACCTGGGCTGCTGTGCATCATATCTGCTAGGGAGGTTGTTCATGTGGATCAGAGAGAGAAAGAAATGATATAATCAAAGCTTTTTGTAAAGGCTGCCACCTGTTTGCAGATACCAGTGTTTCCAGAATTAAACCAGCAAGTACTTCTGTTGGCCTCCACTACCATGCCTGCAAATGGGAGCTAAATTGTCACAATTAATTTTTAGCTGCAGGAAAGCAGGAGACTCTCAACCATCTGTGCAGCTCCAGTGCCTTTAGAGTGGAAGAAATGCTGGTGCAGGTCCTCCAACGGAATTTTCAGTGCATGTCACGTAACATGGCTCCAAGCAGCTCTAACGCAGTGTGGAAACTTCATAAAACTTCTTAGTGTAAATAACTAAGAGATGACACGTTTGTTTTTCAGGAATTAATACGTATGTGGTTATAGACGTACATTGATTCCTGGATGGTACCCAGAAGCAATAAGGGACTCGGTGCTGTCTTTTGTAAATCTTTCACTTATTGTTAAGTGGTTAAAATGCTGGATTTCTGTAGGCCATATTTTTAATTACAGTGAAATGTTAGTAGTTTCATTTATGTAATAGTGGGTGGACAGAGCTATGATTAAGTAGTTGCTAGAAATCTTGTTATGACTAATCTTGGTTTGGTATTATTTTAGTTTCTTAGTCTCAGCCTTTATGTACAAGGATTTATATTTTGCGAAACAGTTGGAATTCTCTTTAGGGGACTCACTTTAATACAGAAGTTAGAAGTCTAAAAAAGTTGATAAAGTACTTAGAGAATGTACTTTATAAATCAAAGTAGACATTAGTGTTTATTTTTAAGACTGGTGACCATAATGATCTGATTTGTAGGGCAGTGAGCCAAAAGGCAAGGAAAGCAGGAAACCTAGATGGAGCAAGTTTGAAACAGGGTTGTGGAACGTGTTTTTTCTTGTTTAAATGACTCTGGCTGATTGGTACTGCAGAAACACACTACAGGCACTTCTAAGCTTGGAATGAAATCTCTTACCACCTCCTTCCTGCGCTGCTTTGATTAGCCAGAGCAGACTCACCAGTTTCAGTGCAAGGTGAGTGCGGGAGCCTGGGTGCAGAGAAAAGTTCTTGGTCGCTGCTGAAAATGTTGAGTTCAACATTAGTTTGTTAGAAGCTTAAACTCCCTGTAATGAACTTACTGGAAAATGAAGCATCAGACCAAACAGGTTTTTAGAAGCATGAAAACACGTAGCCTCTGCCTCAAGAAGTTTCCCAAAGAATCTGGCTTTCGCTCCTCTTGGTATTTTGAAGGTTTTCACGTTTGTCCTCTAAAGCCTGCTCGATTGTGTTGTGAGTGCAATTCAGCAGTATATTCAAGCTGATCTAACTAATAGCTCAGGGAGCTGAAATAGCAAGTGGCCCTTATGGGGGTGGCAGAGTGAATAGCTTTCCTTGACTCCTTGTTCTGGCTTGTTACAGACTCAGTGAATGCCACTGCAAGAGATAAGATGGGATCTCCTCTTTTGACAGCTGTTAAATTAGCTTAGCTGTGTTGTCACAGTGCTCCCTGGTTCTTTCCCACAGAAGTTTTTGAATGGTAAATCCCTCTCCTACTTTTGGGCACAAATGTATCTCAAGCCTGTTACTACAGGAAAATGTTCAGAGATTGCACTTATCAAGAATAGAATTAAATGTCCCCTTTGTTGTTGTAGATTGGTAATAGAGTGTGCATGCTGAAAGGAAAAAAAAAAAATCTCAGACTGTGCAAGGAGCTGGCACCTTGTTTCCTTAGAAGCAGGTGTGAAAAGTAGTGTGGAAAACTGCATGGTATGATTTGAGTTGCAGCAAATGGGATGTTATGATAGGTGTCAGCTCAAACATAAAATTACAATTAAAAATGGGCATGTAGAATAAAATCCTAGATAATTTTGCACACTGAAGCAGGTCTTTCATAGCTCAGGCATTTAAGGTGATGTTGTCAGAGGCTGCTATCACATAACTTCTTGGGCTACTGCAGTATGGAACTGCGTAAAGGTTAATGGAGAGACTTGCTGCAGATTGAGCTACAACATACACACTAACTTACGGTTGTGACAAAGCTCAAATCTACTTAACCTACCTTAAACTGTGAGTTACTAGATAAGGCTGGTTGGTTAATGTTGAATGTTAAATCATTTTAAATAACATTTTGAATATGGTCTTTGTTAAGTGAAGGGACAGTCTGCGTGCTTCCAAATCAAGAGAAGAAATGCAATGATTTAAAAGGAACATAGTAAAATTCAGATACAAATGTCTCCAGTTGTTTGCAGCCGTGGAGCTAGTAAGCCCCTGACTAAAGCTTGTTTCTGTGAGTTGTTTTGGGTTTTTTCTTCTGCAAAAGGTAAAGGATAATAGGATATTTTTAGCAATAGCATTTAGTTCTTGGGTTGGGTTTGTGGTTTGGTGTTCTGTTCTGTTTTTTCAGTATTAACTGTAGTTCCAGACTAAAACTTTAATGAGTTCCTTCAGCTTGTGAAAGATTTAGTTCAGGAGGCTCATGAGTCAAACCTAACAGCAAGATTATTATGTGTAAGTACAGTAAGGTTTCAAAGTTACTGCTGACTTGCTTTGAGCAAATCATTGTAGTGATAAAACATCTGCAAGACAACAGTTTTCCTTGCATGGAAGTGTGTCTGTTTGAGAAGAGTGGTTGGGAAGACTGTAAGGCTGTGTGGGCATTACCGCTTTGAGGAACTAGTTGCACACTCACCTCTGGAATCTCTCGTCGTTAAAGGATTATGCACCTCAAGTGAGAAGCCGGCATGGGAACCAGTCTGCAGTGGTGGAACCACTCTTTGCAGAGTCTATTGTAAAAAAGAAATATGGTCCAATTTAAAGTTTTCCAACCCTTTAATTGAAACCGTAACAAAAATTCAATGGTGTCATTAATCTAATATTTGACTCTAGATAAGATGTGGAGAGGGAAGGAGCTGGCTGCCAGAGTTTTGAAGGAAACCTGGAACAGAACCTTGTCCTGCCCCTGTTTCAGGCTCTTCAGAATTAGGTCTGTGGGGGAAGGTTTGGTGTTCCAAGTTCTCCAATATTGGAATGTAATTTATCTATAAGTCAGTTTACGGTACGTTTGAATAGTTGACAAATGCATGTGGGGAGTCATTTTGCAATAGCAGTAAATACTGTCAGGGTTATAATTTGCAATTTTTCCTCAAATACTCAAAAGTAATGATGTGTTGACAAACTATACTTTTCAAGCTTTTTCAAACTTTACTTATGTGAAAGTGTACCAGTTTCTGAAAAAGAATTTTGGATTCGTGTAATGGATATCTGGAAATACTTCTCTGTTTTTTTTTTTTTCCTTAATTTCAGAGTTGGAATAAGGTGGTCTTGATGAGTATTCAGTCAGGTGACTAGCAGATGTTACAAGTCTTATTAATACTTGTGGGTTTTTTGTCTAAAGATGAACACAATTTAGTAATTTACCACTTCACAAAATGGGTGTTTATATTAGGTGTGTTGTCAGTGCCAGTAATCTTAAGGCTACAGTGTATCAGCTGTTTTCCTGCACAGCACTGACTACTGACACCTAATTGTTCCTTAGGTGACTATGTGTAATCAATTTTCTTCCCTAAAGGAATATTTTTTCTCATTATTCAAGATGAATGTTTCTTACATGTGAACTTTCTCTTTTTACAGTGCTGTAGGTAAAACATGCCTACTCATCAGTTACACAACCAATGCATTTCCTGGAGAATATATACCCACTGTGTAAGTACTTATAAAATCCTAAAACCTCATTTATGTCAACTTCTCTGTTCTTACTCCAGATTCCTTACTTGAATGGTTTGAACTGGCTGCAGGCACCCCCCAGCTTGATCTGAAATGTTTAACTGAGTATCTGGGTGTGTGTAAGGAGAAGCACCTTGGGCTTTTACTGCTTAGCACAGTTGTACCTGTGTGCGTTCGTGCTCCGTCTGATTTGTGCCTCTCTGCTCACAAGGCCTAGCTTATTAGGGACTATGATTTACTAACATTTTATCAGATGCTGTTCTCTTTTAAAATAATGTATTATTTCTATCTTGAATGTGATTCATAATAAGCAGTCCTGAGGCTGACCAGCTTGTAAAACATCGTATAGTAGTCAGAAATAGTTGGGTTATGTGGCTGGAGATTTTTTGGTTGTTTTCCCTTCCCCTTTTTGTGCTATTGTCCATCCTGTGCTAAGCCAGCCATGGCTCTATAGCTCCTCAGGCGTGATTGTGGGGATTCCTTTATTTGGTGCTTCCCGTTTTCTTGCCTGTAAGGATTCGGCAGTATCAGTATTAGTGTAGTTCTCTTTTTGAGGGCTTGTTGTGGGGAGGTGTTCTATACACAAGCAGCTGCTTTGCCTTTAGTGGATGTGTCTCTATTTATCTGGCTCTCTGTAAGTATTGATGAGTTTCAGATAACAAAATACATTCTAATGTGATTTACAGATGACATTAGTTACCCTTGCAAGACCTTGTTGTCTTATTTACTCCTGTTTCCTTTTTTGGGTCTTAAATTCAGATTTTTTGCATTACAGTATGCTTTTGTTCCCAGTGAACTTACTTTAGCCAAGTTATTAAAAGCTTCGCGCCTACAGTAGTGATGAGAGAAAAATCACGCCTCTCCTGGCCCCTGGTTATTAACTTTGCTATTTCACTGGAGGGGTTTTTGATTAGCAGGATTAATAAGGCTTTTTTTCTCACCTTCTGTTTCATTAAGGATTCCTTGGTTGTTGCTCATGTATCTTCTATTCCAAGTCTTACAAAATGAGACAGATTAACTTGCTGAACATCCCACTAAGACTGGAAAGCGCTTGCCAAGTGCATCACTTTCCTGTACTTACTGAGATTAACATGTCCTTTGGAAGAGCAATGAAAAAGATGACTTCTGTCAGACTGGACCAAGTCTGTTGTGCATGCTTTTTCCTTCCATATTATTTAAAGAACAACTTCACTGTTTCTGGGGAGCAGAAGGATGCAATAAAAATGTTTCCTTTTGTAGTGTTCCCAGGTAGGACCCTATAGGAAAATCCTTGGGTGCCCTATTTTACTGCAAACTAATGCAGCTAACTTTATTTTTTAGTTTCGACAACTACTCTGCTAATGTAATGGTTGATGGAAAACCGGTCAATCTGGGTTTGTGGGATACAGCTGGTCAAGAGGACTATGACAGACTACGTCCACTCTCCTATCCGCAAACAGTAAGAACTACAGCGTGAAACTAGAAAGAATCTGTACAGCTTTGTCTAACATAGAGGTTTTTTTTCTTTTTGAAGATATGGCCAACCTTGTCATATCTGGAGTTGTATTTATTAGTAACAGTGACTTGTTGCAAGCTACCTTCCTTCATCCTACGTGCTGTAGCTGTAATATTATAATCTGAAATGGGTCTACAGTTGTACAAATGTTAAAATTTGCATGCTTGTGTATTTGCATGCCTGATACATGTTGGCTTTTGTGTACTTGTAGCCTGAGAATCAATTAGAATGCTTGATTTAAAACAAGAAGAAAAAACCAAAATGAAACCCCAAAACAAATGAAAAAGAACCCCTTGGTGAATAGTCCCATCAGCTAGTCCATTGATTTTAAGGTTAGCATGCCTGCCAAAAGCAGGGTTTGTTTTTGTTTTCAGGCGTGATGTTTGGCTGCAACCTGACACTGTCACTGCTAAGCACTTGATACTGTTTAGTCTCCCTGAAGATATTCTAAATGTGAAAGAGGCAGTCCTGAATGAAGATATTCTTGGTGTTGACAGAGGCTGGGTCAGAGCTTTCAAATATACTTAAGCCTGTGGCTATTTTATTACTTACTGTAGTTTGTGCTATAACACCAATACGAATGTGCTTCTGTCTTTCATGCTTGCAACTGGTTAAGTCCTGTCCGCGTGCTGCATCCTTCCTCCTAGAAGGAAGATGCTGAAGTAATCCGCTCTGCTCTTCCCAGTGCGATGGCAGCTACAGTCAATCTTTGTAGAGACTGGTTTTCTAGTCTCCTTGGAGCAGTTACTTTGATCTGGTGGAGCTGTGCTATAAGTAAAGAAAGGTGGTAATTTGCGGGGGGGGTTTGGCGTTGATTACTGTTGTTAACTGTCAAATATATATATATTCAATGCTAATAATGTAAAATGCAAAACTGTTCCAGTTATTCTACAGCATAACTGTTCTCCTGAATACTGTGAATCTTACTTAATGAACTCTGGTGCTTTGTTTTTTGGTTTTTTTTTTTTGTAAACTGCCTTAATTCACAATTTTCCTTAATTCACTGCTCACTAACTTACAGTTAGGCTTTCCCATCCGTTACAATACCCAAGATGGATATGGACTTGCCAGTTGTAGGCAACTCTAGTAGAAATGCCAGAACTATCTGCCTTTTCTAGGAAGAGAGACAATGGAAACCTGTTTTTCACTAATATTTAGATAGTTGTAGGATACTTAGGAGAACTTAAGCTTTGCTTAATATAAGAATATTTAAAAAAAAACTATCTCAGGGTAGAAAAAGGTATGTTGAAAGATCACTCAGTAGTGTGAGGAGAGTGTGTAAGGGAGAATATTGTTCCTCCCCTGTGACAAAGGGACAGAATGCATGTGCATGTCTTCAGCCTGCTAAAATAGCTGTGGCTTTCTGATAGACTGCAAAAGAATTCCATGTCAATCTAAGCATAACTTTGGGGGAAAATCTCTTCTGTACAAGCATGTATAACTGTTAAGTAAAGGTTTGAAGTGCTCCCAGATACTTGGATGGGTTTTTACAGCAGAAAATGAGACAGGGTGGTAAGTCTGTAACTTCTTATGAAGAAGTCTTCAGATTTTAGACTTGTGCAACGTGTAGATTCATTATCACTTAAGGGACAAAAACCCCACAAAATTATCTGCCACCCAGTAGTTCAACAGTTAAGAACTTCACAGTAAGAACTTTGCCATAGTAGAGGCATTAATTTGTCTCTCTCCCTTATTCGTATTTTTTTTCTTCCTTAAAATATACAGGAATTTAATGCCTTCTCCTGAATATATTTGAAATCTACCAGTATTTTAAAATATTTGGGGAAGGAAGAAGTTGGGTCAGAAAAGATGTTTAACCTTGTTTCCTCAGGAGACCAAACCAAAAAGAAAATTAAGTTAGGGGGATGCTTTTCAGAGAGGTTGGCTTTTGGAAGCCTCCCCTGACAATGCAGACAGACGTTTATGGGGAGGTCTGGCGCTCTGTTCTGGATGCAGGTAGCTGGTTGTGCTGAACTCCAGGGCCGTGTCTCTCTCTCCAGAAGAAAAGCCACGTTGTCTGCTTGTGAGCACAAATCACTGACTGAGAGAATGTTCTCCTTTAAATCCATTTTAGGAGTAACTTTATCTCCTACTGTTATTAGGTTGGAGGAACCAATGGTAAGAATATATCATCCAGTCTGACAGATCAACCTATTGCCGTATGTAAAACTTTAAATAAACTTCAGTTCCAAGTTCTGTCATCTTGTCTTGCTTACCATAGTGATAAATTGGCCCCTATTTTTTTAAACAACTACTTTTCTTGGAACTATCGAATTGCTAGATCTGAGAACTCTGTTACCAAATCTCTTTATACAAGTTGCTAAGACTAAACCTTTTCTTGCAAATAAATAGCTTTTCCTCCTACTTATTAAGATTGGTAGTGTGCAAGACACCTGAAATCTTCAAATAATTCCTCGTGGTTATGCTGATTTTTTTTATTTTTTTTTTTAAATCTCTGGAGCTAGTAAAGGAGAGAGTCTGCATAATGTGCAGAACTTCAGTCACCACAAACCTGCAGAATTGGAAAACAGAAGTAGTGGCCATAGTATCACATTATTTGATGTTGTTTCTTTCTTCTTCTGGGACGCTGCTACGGAAACTCGTTGGGGTGATGCATGAACAACTGGGTTGCAAGTGCTTAGCAGTGCAGATGTCAGATGCTGACCTAACAAAATGCCTTGAAATGCAGCACAATCAACTAACATTCTGAAATGCCTGATTCTTTAACCCATTTGATACCGGAGTAAGTGCGGATGCAGAGGTAGGTTGGGGAAAGTTGGGCTTGTTGGAGAGATGCTTACTGAGGTTTGGGTCATACAGCAAGGTTACAATCTTCATCTGGTTAGACTGCAAAAATTAATTTTGTGGTTATTTTGAATGCTTGTAGGCTACAGTGTGTCATGTATGAAGCTCACTCTTTTTTTGAAGTGTATGCTGTATGGCAGTTAGTGTAAGCGTTTGCTCTAAAATACTTTTACCTGCTCTTACAATTTTTTTTGCCCGCAATTGAAAAGCGAGGCGTGTAAGATCCCTGAAAACATCCCCTTTTCTCTCTGCTTTCTTATAATTTAGAAAGGTAAGGACGGAGCTTTGATGTTTTTAATACCCTTCTCAATCCTAATTTGCTTATAGAGAAATTCTGAAATCTTTTTATACTGACATTCAGCAGAAGTGACAGCTCTACAAGATTCTTCTGACTTGGGCATGGAAGTAATAATTGTAGAAATCATCGTTGTATTTTTTTTTATTCCATACTGTATAGTATACTTTGCCTTTGCAATTTAAGACTACTTTACAGTAGTACATTAATAGTATATTTGGATTTAAAAAAAATCAGTGCCAACAGTTAAAACCCTTTGCAACATCCTATGCTGATGAGTTCCATGTCTTTCAAGGCTTAAATGACTGACTTAGAGGTCTGCAAGGAGCATCTACCCCAGTTCTGAAGCCACTCTGACTCTTCGTTGCTTCATGTTCATCAAGGATCTGAAGCGTGGTGCTTTTTTTGCTGTTTTCTGAATGTCAGTGAGGGAGAAGAAATGACATTTAGGGGGGAAAAAAAGCTTGTAATGCAACAGTATTAGCATCTTGGTTGCTGGCTACTGCAATAGTTGATTTTAAACTTGACTGCAGTCTATTTGTTGTTGGTTTCCCCCCCCTTTGTGTCTGCTTGTAGCTGCCTGGGAATGATTTCCCCTCAGGGAAAGCTACCTCTGCTTGTCACGTGCAGCTGTAGCACTGACCTGGCCTTTCACAAGTGTGATACAGGTGACAGTGTGATACAGGTGCTGGCAATATCGGCCTTTTCATGAGCTGTTTTGCTCTACTGGGCTAACTTCTAACAACTTGTTTTGTAGGATGTCTTCTTAATCTGCTTTTCCCTTGTGAGTCCCGCTTCCTTTGAAAATGTCCGTGCTAAGGTAAGTACAAGCTGGTATGGTTTTATTTCTGAGTGTTCAACATACTGGTCACTTTACAGCAGTGGCTGGAAAATATTAGGGGATTTTTTTTTTTTGGCTGGCAATGTGAAATGTAATTTGAAAAGGCAGAAATCCACTTGCCTAACTTGTAAGTCAGGGAAGTTCAGGGCAGGTGAAGTGCTCTGAGTATGAATTGTTCCCCGATGCAGTGATAGGATGGCAGTAGCTGGAGAGTGTTCAGTCAACAATGTGCTAAGACCACAAACAGGAACTTTCCTTTTAAGGCAATTTAAAGGAAAGTATTAAAAAATAAATGTGTGTAAAAATAGGGTTGTGTTTGCATCAGCCAGTGTTCTAGCACACGCTCTGCTGCCGTTACAGTCTTTCATGTCCTTGGACAACTCTGCTGCGTGGCACTGTGGAGACCTCAGATGAGAGGTGGTCTCCAGAGGTGAGGGAAGTGCAGATCAGGGTTTTCTGGTATGCGGAGAAAATGCAGCCCTTAATAGGGTGAATTTTTGAGGGGGGTGTATATATATTAAAAATACCTGTTGGCTTCACTAAAAATGTTTTGTAACCCCTTAATGGAGTCCGATGGTCTCCCCTCTACTCCCTGATGACTCTTGGAAGTGTCGTGAAGGACTGCGAGCCTTTCGGTCCCAAAGTTCGAGAGCTTTGGTGGAAATCTGCCCCCATACAGCCTACGCTCTTTTTTTTGCAGTGGTATCCAGAGGTGCGGCACCATTGCCCCAACACTCCCATCATTTTAGTGGGGACCAAACTCGATCTCCGGGATGATAAGGACACTATTGAAAAACTGAAGGAGAAGAAGCTGACTCCTATCACCTACCCCCAGGGCCTTGCCATGGCAAAAGAGATTGGTATGATGGCAGCGGGGTTAGTTATTGTAGAGCTAAATGTGGTTTGTGGAAGATGCACCTGAACGCAAAGAAACGCCTGGCTTTTCTTGTGGACTTTGCCAGAAGCAGCGCTGCTGTAATTGTGGAAAACTGCTTTGTAATTGCTGTTTTGCTTTCCACAGGTGCAGTGAAATACCTAGAATGCTCAGCACTTACGCAGCGAGGCCTCAAGACAGTGTTCGATGAAGCTATTCGAGCAGTTCTGTGCCCCCCTCCTGTAAAGAAGAGGAAGAGAAAATGTCTGCTGCTGTAAACTTACCCTCCCCCTCCTGGTCCAAGCCCTGTGCTTTGCTCAGAACAATGGAGCATTCACACTCAATGCCAAGTTTTCCCGTTATAAATTAGTTCTCTTCCATAAATTCTTGAACCAATCAACAATTTCACGGTATCCTTTGTTTAAAGTATGAAAGTTACCTTGCATTCTTCTAAAAAGCAAACTCCTGACAAGACAAACCTATGTAAAGCCTTATTTTTAAAATCCTTGCTCGATTAAGTGTTGCCAAACTATCTGCTGAACTAAGTTGCATTGTTGTGCTACGGACACTAAGCACTAAACTGTTTTTTAAAGATTCTTTGTGAAGATGACTAATTTCTGGTAGGAAATTCAAAAACACTTTCTAGTTTTTTCACAGTAAGTAACAGTACTGTCTAATTAGCAAAACACTGCACTCTGTGTTTTACTATTATGTGTTTTCTCAAAAAACCCCCACCCCCCCACCCCCAGTCATTGCGTAGCGTTGTACATTGACCCTAAATCGTTGATGACTGACACCCTCGAGTCACAGTGTAAAATGCTTTATCGTTGGTAAGGGCTTGGTTGCAATCTAGTTCTTGCTGCTGTGATTTAAAAAAATAAATAAATAACTATTCTTACCGAAGTGTATCTAGTCCTTTTGACAGCATTGTACGGCGATGGATAAGGAGATAGTGGGTTGGATGAAACGATACGCCAGACAGTATTTTCTCACTGTTCGGCTGACTGACACTACACTGCCAGGGTCGCTGGAACTAAATTGGTGTTTGGCAGAGGTTAAAACCAGTGACCGGGGCCCAGAGGTGCGGCAGGGAGAGGTTGGTGTTCACAGGGCCATTCCTCTGACTTCTGCGGGGGGCATTCAGCGAGGTACAACCCTCAACCAGTCATTCCCACAACTGTTGTGTAGTAAATGCTTTTCTCTTAGAATCTTTTCTTACTGAGCAATATACCTTGTATTTTAAAACCTTTCTGAGGATAGAAGTTTGGTTGGGGTTTTGGTTTTTTTTTTTGGTAGCGTAGAATGTTCAAGTATATGCTCCTTATTTTCCTGTTATTTCTGACCCAGTAAGTTATATGCTTTCTGAGGAGCTCTTAGTCTATATTAACTAGGTGTAAAAATCATGTGAAGCAGCTTTACACATTTTAGTAATTTTTGTATTTTAAACCTCTATAAACTATGAACCTTCTTGAATATCACTGTTTGCCAGCTCTCCCCAGCAGCGTAACATGACTAATGCAGACAAGTGTTCTTTTATGTCACTACATGTACACATGCAGCATAGATTGAGTAATGGTAACTTGGGTCTGTGAGGTTCTGTAAATTAGTGCTAATGTTCTGTACATCCTAAACTGCCAGGAATCCAATGGTGAATGACACCCTTTCAACCACTAAAGCAAAATTTAAAAATAAAAGTTGCAAAGTTGTGAAGTTTTTACATTGATCTTTTGCTAATGCAATTAGCAATATGTTTTGCATGTATGACTTAATAAATCCTTGAATCACATGTGTGGTAATGTTTGTGTTTCTTAGACTGCTATGAGTAAGCTGTTCTCAAGCAGTGTGGGGGTGGTCTCTCCCATGCGCTACACCCCCAGCCTCTTTCAGCGATGCTCTGAACCAGAATTAAATTCGGTGCTTGGCAACATCTCTTAACGTAAGGCTGCTGATCATGGGCGCTGTCACTTGCTTCCCACTGCTGCTTACTGGGTTAAAGTTGCTGCCAACCAGGGGAAGAAATGCTGGACCGTGAAACACACAGCTGTGGGAGGAGGAAGCCCCAGCTGGGCCCTCACTGCTGCTGGTCACAGGGCCCCAGCTATTCCAGCAGCTCTGAACCTGGGACTTGTGTCTCACCAAGCACCCCAACACCCTGAGACGGGTTTTTAGAGCACAGTTTATTTTGGCTCCATATTAAGTATCACAGCAAGAACATCCACACAGTTATTCTCAACCACATCATCTTAGTTGTACTTAACTCTATACATTTTTTTTTTAAATAAGAAATGCTGCTGAGTCTTAAAAAAAAAAAGTTAAATAGCTGCACACCAGAAACAAGGATTTGACTTTTTAAAAATCAGTACGAGTGGTTATACTTTTTTTTTTGCCAGAATTACTAGTTCATTGCTGACAGTAGTCAGAGCTCATAACTAAAATGATACCAGGGCATGAACCTCCCCCCCCCCCATTAAGCAGTTCTAGTATTAGATTAGTTTAAAATCAGTAACAGTAATCATGTGGATCAACAGATACAAAAGACAGGTAGATAAAGAAATATTGCACGTGTACATCCAAGCAGTGTTTAACCCACACTGCCCCCCCAAGACAAACAGTGCAATCGGGCGGAGGGGGCTGGTGGAACCCAGCGTGGGCAGCACCTGCCCCCCACCCACGGGCCCCAGCACTTACCCGCCTCCAGGCGCTGGTGCAGCCCCACACACTGCAGCATTGCTGGCCTAGTGCTCCCTTCACACGGCGCCCTCCAGGCTTTGCAGAGGTGGGTCATGGGGCACTAAAGGGACTTTGAAGCAGAACAGGATTTTTTAATTTTTTTTTTTTTTTTTTCTGAGGTCTGCCACTGTTCTGCGCTCACATGCCCACCAGGCTGGCCTCGCACACTCCCTTTGGTCAAGTACGCAGTTGATGCCTCAGCTCTCGTGCGCCAGGCTCAGGCTGAGTTAGGTCTTCTCATACTGCTCCGGCTTTGTAAAAGCTCAACCTTCGGCGTAAATGCAGAATCTGCGCTTTCACCAGCGTAATGTTACTCGAGCTCACTGCAGAGGCAAGGAAGGGCCAAAGCCCCTCATTTATTTTATGCAATGTGAGAGCAGTACTGAAATCCACTTTGGTACGACAGTGGAATGTGTCCTGAATACTTGCAACCTGCAATAAAAACCCCCACACCTCATCTCCAAGCTGTGGTTATACTACATTGGTGTTACATTCTCGTGCTTGACAAGAAATACATGATCCACGTTCTTGAGACAAACTGTTCAGAGCTTTGAGCACAACATCTGGCATGTGGTCTGTTATCATCTTGGGACTTATTAAAATGCTGCTGAAGACTGTTTCATTTGACCATCTTGCCATGTATTTAATATCTGAAGAGCACAACCTAAAAAAAAAAACCCAAACAACAAAACACCACAAATACAACAGCTCAGACTGTCAGAACTGGTGCTCAGTGTCAAGCCTGGAACACACAAGCTGAACCCCTCTGAGCTTGGACCGTTCTCCCAGCAGGAAGGTGACCTCCCAAAGTGCTACAGCCCTGACCTGCACTGGAAGCTGGCAATGCTCCCACTGCTAAGGGACAATCAAATAACCTGCTCACAGAAACACGGAAACCGTCAGCGCAAAGGGGGTGGGGTGCGGGGGTGAGGGGTTAAGCACTGCACCTTCAAACAGTCAAATTTAGGGAAGAAGCCACAGTGGTAGCAGTAGGAGACGATGCTAGATTTAATGCTGCACATATGATGCATTAAAGATTTTATTTTACAGAACGGTACAGGATGGGGGCTCCTGTGCTAGTCCAATTAAGAAAAAAACATGATTAACTGCTGTGCTGCAGAGTAAATGAAAGAAAAGAAATGAACTCAAAGCAAACTAGAAGAGCAGCCATCGAGAAAACCTGCCGAGGGCACAGGGGTTAAAGTATCTAACTTGTAAAACCCAGTATTAAAATCATTAAACGTTAAAAAGATGTGAAGCTTAAATAAAATACTAATCTACTGAACGGGAGGGAAAAAAGTAGATTTCTTCTCCAGCCCTTTTCTTCCCTCTTCTATAAGTTACAGATTTTATTTTCACCTGTAAGATGGTCTTGTGCAAGTTACAGATGTTCTTATTTCTGTTTCAGAATGAAAGAAGGGAGGATATCAAGTACTGTCCAGCCTGTGGGCTGTTTCAGGTTGTTTTGACTGAAAAAACCCCAACATGAACCAACCAGAAACAAAACCCCCTTGAACACAACACTGCCCCAACAAAAGCACCATCCCCACCCTTCCAGCAGTTTCAGCTTTTCTGTTCTTTGTCTTACCATCCTGCGACCATAAAAAAGCAGCAGAGGACAGGAAACGAGAGGCTGCACGGGCACGCTGGGGCAACCGGACTTCTCGGTCTGGCTGGGCTGGTATTAGGGCCAATATTTTGCCTCTTTCTCATCATCAATATTCACATGACTACTCAATAACTAGGTACTTTGTTATCACCTCCCTACTACCGGGACAAAAGGCTGCAGGATCTGCAGTCTGGGCAGGAACTGCAGCATACCAAAGCTGAACTCAAATCTTGGCGTTTAAAATCATCCCCTGAGCACACGCAATATACAGGCAGAATCGGCTACACCGGTGTAAAGAGAAACCCGTTTCCAGGGCTCAAAGTGACACAGAACGAAGCAGGGAGGCAGAGAATAAAAACTGAAAAGCTGGCCAACGCCTAACAGCCAAGGATGGGTACTGGAGACGCAGATGAGCAGCAGAGCTGGAAACACGTACTGTGAAAGGGAGAAGTAGCTTTAAGTAGATTTTAGAAAAACAAGACAGCAGTATTCATTGTTCTACTTACTTCCTAGAGCTGGATTCTTCTACAATATGGATAATCTTTCCAGGAAGATACAGACGAGGATACTGAGGTGGTGAATTTAAGTGCGATTCATCCTCAAGGGCACTGTATGAAGGTGACCGACGAACCATTAAACTCTCCTCGGCCAGAAGTGGCTGGGTGAGGGCATCTTGGTTTCTGCCATCCAGCTCAGTTGGGAAGTTATCTGGATCTCCTCCAAATACTTCGTACCAACACCCACGCAGCAAAATCTGGTACTGAATTCAGAAAGAAAAGCAGTCAAATTGAGGGCTGACGTCTCTTCAAGTAACTTATTCTAGTTGTGTGCTTGCATGCACGTCATCTGAAACTACAACTAAAAGATTACATATGACTGTATGCACATGCTCCATAAACTTTTCCTTTGGTACGATCTCTTTACCGAATTTCCCCCACAGTAGTATCTATTTCCCCAATATCTAACCCAAGCCACCAGTAACACTACAGAAAAGATTACAATTTTTACCAGCTGAATTATTCTGTGTGGATTCTGCTCTGCAGACTGAAGTTTTCTTGCACCTCTAACTGTCCATCACCATATTCTGTGTTTACAATGTCACCCAGGCCCTCTACATGACCCCTGATCCTGGGACTACATGGCAGATTTAACTTTGTATGTTCAGAAATGTTAGTTCTGAGTCTTTAAGCCATTCCTCTACACCTCCAGTATTGCCTTGCCTGACACCACACTGTTCCAGCACTTTTAAAACTTC